AGGGCGCGGGGGGTGCGAGGTGAGCCGGGGGAAGAAAACCTTGACTTTTCCCCTGTCGGTGTGGGCCAGGCGTGCTTTTCCCTAGCGCCGGAGCCCCCAACTGCTCCCCAGCGCACCGGGTTCGGCCTGTGACCGCCGGGCGGAAAAAAGGTCCGAACCGGCGATTTTCGGCGTCCTGAGGGCGCGACTGGGCCGTTTTTTCCGCGCCGGCACCGAAAAAGTGGCCGGGGGGCCTGTTCGGGGCGCGGTTGGATATGCTCTAAGCTTGCACTTTGGATCAACTGAAAATACTCAAGGTTAAAGTAGTAAAACTTGTAAAGCCTATTACAAGGCATGCTTGAAAATAGTTTGTGCTCCTTTGCTAACTTGGAATGTTTTTGCAGATGACCGCCTCGATGAAGAAGAGAATCGAGAGTTGATCATGCAAGCCGTCTACGTGTATGTTCAGCTAGTTAGAAGTTGGCTACATTTTGCATGCTTCCTCTTTTCTGGTTTATAGGGCTCGTCTTAAAAAAATTATTTATTTTTCATTTTATAAGTCTCAATTCTACTAGTTACTATCACATATTTAGATTTTAAGGTGTATTAAATCAATGCGTGCAAGGATTAAGAGAAAACTCATCAATGAATGTAAAAGTTCTTGGTCATTTAGTGGTTATGCATGCATGCATTGTCATTAATGCATCAGTAAACACAACTTTTTGAGAAAAACAAGCATACTAATTTAAGTATTTTTGCAAACTACAAAATGTGCTCCACCACTCACCATTTACCTTGTTGGAGAGATTTTTAAATTGAGCCCTATAAAATGGAAAGGAGAGAGTATGTAACTTGTTGTACCAGGTGATTGCTTTGTGAAGTGCTTCTGCAAACCACTTTGAACTCAAACAAGGTTCATTCTTTGGTGATTTATCTATTCAACTCTTTAAATTGCATCTCTTGGTCATCAACACATTTACCTTATTTTTATACAAGTTATGTATTATTCTAGGATAGATACATCTGAAGGGATGGAACGTGCGGGTGAAGTGTACAAGAAGGCTTAATTTAGTATCAGAAAATAGATTTTACTTAAGGAGATGGTAAAACTATGTTGTGGTTTCTTAGTTTCAATATTTTTTCCAACTATCTTAGCTATATGTATTATCTGTAGGTATATTACAAGTAGTATTTTTTTACCACCAGAATACCAGAATATTTTTATGGACATTTACTGTTTTCAATTGATTATGAAGGCATACACGCAACTTGATTCAATTTATGTAGATGTCATTTGTTTATTCAACATAAAGTAATTGTTGGAACTAACTATTTATTTTGCGTGTGATGAAATAGTTTATTGTTGAAACATGGGTTTTGCCACCTTTTTTTTCTGTGACAGATTAATAACATGAAAATGGTACCGTGCCGATAGGCTACCGCCACAAAATATAGCCAATGCAACAAAAATTATAAAGGGGCAGTGGCCCCATGCAAAAAATCTAGTTGGCCCTAGCAATGTAATAATACCATGGAAAATAAGGTCATCACATTAATATTTTACCACGGGAAAACCCCATTGTGATATGTTAATGCCACAACTTATGTTTCCATTGCAATAGAAAGTGCTCCATGGCTTTAAATGTGTAATACAAAGTATTCTTACTGTGAGAACTAGTATGTATTGTTGCAATAGTGTGGTGTGAATTTTAATGTGTTGCAACAATTTATTACCACACAATCTATCGAACCAACTGCATTTAGCTTTTCCCATTATAAAATTCCCTGCGAAAAATACCTATTGCAATTGTGGTGGTCTTATTGAAACGATTTTCCTAGTTGCAGTATAGCTGCCTCTTTGTAGTAGGTTGAAACTTCCTACCTTTGATAAGGGCCACACTTATTGTATTTATAAGTCGGGGTTATGCCGAATGCGCATCCAGATGTTTGGTTACAAGCTTGGTTTAAACGCAAGAAAAATAAACAAACAATAGCAACCAACCAAGGATCATATCATGTTTACAATGCATTGATGATTCAAATTTTCCTTATATTTCCTGAGTCCTCTTAATTATATGAATATATATCCTAAAATGTTCATGAATTCAAAATTTGTGTCTTAAAAAATCACAAATTTAAAAAGTGTTCATGAATGCAGAAAAAATCGTGAATCTTAACAAAAGTTTGTGAATTAGAAAAACATCCAAATTGGAAAAAAAACATAAATTTAATAATAATTAAATGATAAGAAAATGGAAAAGAAACAAGAAACAAGAAGAAAACGAAATAAAAAGCATAAAATGGTCGGACAAAACCGGAAGAGGGAGCCTCCTGGAAACTAGAGAAGTCTACTTGGGGCAGGCCCAATACTTATATGTAAACATCGACCTACCCGTTGGATGTGCTGACAACAACATATTAAAAAAGGAAAAAAAACATCCTTGTAGCTTGAGGCATGGGCCCATGTGGGGGAGTAAGCAGCCCATGGATATTTCGCACATGTGGCCCACAAAGAAAAAATGAAATCACCAGCAACACGGGCACACAACTGCATCGCCCCACCTTCTAGAAACCTGCATCAGTAATCAAATTCATGTAGGTGAACGAGTGGCAGTATCACCACTCCAATTCAATTGCAATACCTTCACTGAAGTCTTGATGTTTTTCATATTACAAAGATTTTTACTACGTAACAGATGTCTCTAAGAGATTTCATAGTAGTTATTAGATCGGAAATCCAATTTGGCTCGCAGGAGCACGAGCTCCTGCACGTGAAAATGATTTTTGAAATGTCAAAAAAATCCCAAAAAACTTCTATGTATTCATGGTCACATCCAAATGGTACATGCGAAGTTTTAGGCAAAAATCGTTAAACATTTTGGCCTGTGAAAAAAACAGATTGAACACCAAATGTTAGCCAACAATGTCACCGCAAATTTATTTATTTCACCAATGGAAAACTACTGCTCTGTTTTGCATGAAAATTATTAAGCATGCTTGCGACACTAACATGAACATACCACTTTTTTTTGAGGTACTGTTCATCCTAGAGCAAATGCACCCGGGAGCCAAAACGCCTCCCCATTCTTTGATGTAGTATTTACTTTGTAATTTTTTGGACATTGTACCTGTAATGGCTGCGAGTATAAATAAAATTACAGGTGTTTCTAGGAAAAAATATTGCATCGCACGCGCCACCATCAGTTTGTAGTTCGCATAATTACAGTCTACCAGTCCTTCTGTTTCTTCTGTTCATGTAAGCCGTTGTCCTAGTGAGGAGCCTCAAATGTTGGCTAGATTGAGTGAACTCACAGCTCATCCGGTGTATCATCACTGTATCCCTCGTTGTATCCAGGATCTGAATGTCCATGTGAATAAATAAGCCATCAACAAAAATATAGTAATCGTGTTTCACAAATGGCAATCTAGCTGTCTTCATCTCTGTGGGCTTGTCTCGAGGGCTCAAGGCTTGATGAAGCCAGTGCTCTCCATCTTCTCTCAGCTTGCCCAGCTCGCGACCTCCTCAAGTTAGGTAAGTGACTGATAGATCTGAGCTTGTCGTTCTCTCGATATCGCACTAGACGCGTCTAATAGCCGTTCAGGTACGCGTCTAATAGCCCCTGGGCGTGTTAAACTGAACGTCGACGGGTCGTACTGCCCCGCCTCTAGTGCTGCAGGTGCAGGCATGATCTTGAGGGACAGTAGTGGAGCGATTATTTTTTTGGCGTGCAGAAACCTTCTCTTCTGTGCAGATCCTTTGCAAGCGGAGCTGGCGACCTGTCTCGAAGGCCTAAATTTTGCCATGCAATGGTCTCCTTTGCCTGTGGACGTGGAGATGGACAGCCTGATTGCTGTGCAGGCTATCCGATCAATGAAGGAAGATAAATCGCAACATGCGATGATGATTTCGGAAGCTAAGAGACTTCTTGGTGAAAGGGAAAGTTCAATTGCTCATATTAGTAGGACACAAAACTGTGTTGGGCATAGACCAGCTGAGTTTGGCCGAGTAGAAGCTAGGACTGCCATATGGTTAAAATCTGGACCTGCTAATGTACCGAAACTATGTATGGAGGATCTCCCTCCAAGCTGAGCAACGAAATTCCCTTTAACCCCGCAAAATAAAAACTTATCTTATGTTCTTTACATATACAACGATTCGTTAAATCATGTTAGATATTAGGGATCTAATTTCTAGAATACTGATCTATATTCAATGAATTTGCATCTAGAAACATCCGGAGAAGCCTTTTCTAAAGCACGGAAGAATTATTGCCGATGGATTCACTAGAATTTAGATTTTTTTTGACATAATCATACTGGTTCTTTTGCTATAGTTTTAGTATTTTTTTGGTAATATGACATTGCTCAACAATCATTACTAGATGTGGTTTGGAAATTAACTCTTTAACACTTTACAAGTGAACTTAAACACATAGTTGTACATATACCTACATAAACTTAGTTATATATAACTTTAAGGTGTCGTACCCTCCAAAACATAGAGCCGACCCTAAGTTATGCGACAAATAATAAGATCGGTCCTCAAAAAAAAAGATCGGCAAAGGTAGGCCCATCGATTGCATATAGGAAAATATATTCGGTGCATTCTACATCTTCTTGTATATGGTCCTTACACGCTACATCATCAAAATATAAATTTGTAGACAATTCTAATTACATGTATATAGTTGGTGCTTTCTCCTCCTGTCGTGCTTCCGTGCAACATCAAAATATAAAATGTGTAGACGAATCTAATTACCTACGCACAAAGCTCGATCTCTCCGGATAGCTGCGATGCTAAGCGATGTTTAGTCGCTTTACGTACGTCCCACCCAGGGTCGACCTCCCAGACAGATGCTGTCCCTCACATGCATTGATGCATGCAACACCTGAGCATCTTTCCCTCCTATAAATCCCCATGCAACACAGCCTTACACCTCATCAAACTCACGGCTAGCTACCCACTAGCCACACTTACCAAACACAAATCAGCTAAACTAGCTTACCTCAAGAAGGTAGCAATGGCGAGGGCTTTCCCTATGGGAGTGGTGGCCGCCGCGGTGGTGCTGGTTGTGCTGTTTACCACCGTGTCCTCTGCCGCCGCGCAGCCTCGACCTCCTCTGCCAAAGAACTCCCGCATGATCACCCCGGGGCGGTTTGGGAAGAGGGCTCAGGTGCTCTCCTGCGATGACACCAAGGACGGGAACAGCCCATGCGTCGCCACCTGCGACAAGCGCTGCCCCAATGAGTGTGTTGTCATGTGCCCAGGCTGCAAGACATACTGCTGTAAGCATCCTAATTTGTATCCCCGAAATGCCCTTCTTATGACACAGATAAGATGCTAACCAAAACTTTCTTGAAGTGTGTGACTTTTACCCCGGGGTGTCCTGTGGCGACCCGCGTTTCACCGGCGCTGATGGCAACAACTTCTACTTCCATGGCAAGAAGGACCAGGACTTCTGTGTCATCTCCGATGTTGACCTCCACATCAACGCTCACTTCATCGGCAAGCGCAACCCCTCTATGAGCCGCGACTTCACCTGGATCCAAGCTTTGGGCATCCGCTTCGCTGATCACCGCCTGTACATGGGCGCCCAGAACACCACCAAGTGGAACAACGACGTCGACCGCCTCGAGTTGGCCTTCGACGGAGAATCGATCAGCATCGCTGCAGACATCGGGGCAAAGTGGCAATCCACTGTTGTGCCTGGCCTGACCGTCACGAGGACCACCGTGACCAATGGCGTGAGGGTCCAGCTTAAGGGTGTGTTTGACATCATTGCTAAGGTGGTGCCCATCACGGAGGAGGACTCCCGCGTTCACAACTATGGTGTGACAAAGGATGACAGCCTCGCGCATCTGGACATCGGGTTCAAGTTCTATGACCTCACCGACGACGTTCACGGTGTCCTTGGCCAGACCTACCGCTCTGACTATGTCAACAAGCTCAGCGTGAGCGCTAGCATGCCTGTGATGGGTGGTGTGGCCAGCTACATCTCCTCCGACATCTTCTCCACTGACTGCAAGGTCGCCAGGTTCGGACTTAGCGCTGGCATCTCCATGGTCACCAGCACGGCGAACTAAGCCATTTCTCAAGACAAATATCACTCTGATCTAATCGGCCTATACTGATGATGGACAAATAAAATAATATGCGAGAAATGTAATGTGTAACATCCATTTGTGACAGAAATCAATGACCTTCCCCTAAGAAATGAAATCATCTTTCGTGTTGCAAGTTTTAATTGTGTTTTCCTATCCGTGCAGTTTTGTTTGCTGTGATGCGATGTTCAAAATTTGCTTCAGGTCTTCTTCTTCTTCTTCCCTATTCTAGTTCTAGTACTGAATAGTAATAATTCAGAGTCACTCCACCGAGCAATTTAAGTGTCATGCTCATAAGGCAATCACTGCTTAATTAACATCTTATGACTGTAACTAATAGGCCAGGTTGTAAAGATCAAGTAGATTATTTCTAGTGAGTCCATGAATGTAACAAATTGATCCAAAATGATTGGTATGCCGCTGAAGAGACATATTAAGACGCCCCCCTCCCTGTTAAACATTTGAGAAAACATAGACTTCAGGACACCCCCTTATCTAGCCACTCATCTTTGCATGGCGATTCATGCAAACCTTTTGTCTTTTTGGTTTCTTCCATGTAAAACAACATATTAACTTCAAAATTTGCAGCAGAACAAAAAATTCTAACTAGATGCGAGAACAAACTTTTGGATTTTTTCGTGCATCATAAATACTGAAAATGACATTTTTTTAATCCAAAAAATCTCATTCCATATATTTATTTGGACCAAAAAATCTGATTTTTTTCCCATATTATAGTTAGAATGCTTTGGTGTCTTGCAAGGTTTGAAGTTCATATGTTGTTGTATTTGGAAGAAACAAAAAAGAAAAAAAATGGTATAGTAAGTTAGTTGTATAGCATGGATCTCAAAGCAATATTGGATGGTAGGGATAAGGGGTGTCCGAAATTACATTTCAAGTCACATGAAGACTGATTGGGTATGGGCCATGATTCCACTGATTGATTGGGTCACATGAAGACTGATTGGGTTTGAGCCTCAATTTAGTTTCGGTCCCGGGCCAATATGCTCGTGTCAGGCCCACGTTCTCGCGAAGAGAACCCAATGTCCCATCCGACAAAGAAGAGAGAGTGTCCGGCT